CAAAGCAAAATAAAAAAATCTGGACAGTTTCTCATTTAGGGGCCGAAAGCTAACAAAGATTGTGAGCCAAAGGGGAGTAGCCAGAGGGGACGAAGCGGGGCCACTTTGAGAAAGTGCAGCTCCATTCTCTCAAACAGATTTTACTGAGGAAGCCACAGGCCACAACAGTGCTGAGTGGCCTTCATTACAGAGCTGTTTCCTAGAACTTCTCTCCTGTGCCCACCCCTGTGTGCCACATGCCGCCTTCGGGCTGTTACCAGCGCCCATCGTGATCCTGTGACCCCTACATCTAGTGCAGGCTAGTGTACATATCCAGCCTACTTTGCCCTGGATCTACAGAGAAGCGTATTCCTAGCCATTCAACAGCATCTCCCGAAGATACTGGAAGGGTGGTCCCCATTCCCTCCCAGCCTTGGGATACCAGTTCATTTGTCCCTGAGGAATCGTTCAGCCAGTGTGTTTTCTGGCCTGAGTCTTAATCGCTAGGCTTCTGGCTTCTGCCGTTCTGACAGAGAATGGTCATGTATATGGTTTTAAAAGGAAAGAGCCCCCAAGTTGTATGTGTGCGGGCTCTAGGGACACGTGAGTGCTAGCTGGGTTCTGGCCAGGTCCCCTGGGCACTGTGGGTGTCACATAGTTTGATTGAAGGACAGAGAACAGAAAGGAGTGGGGTGGGGGAGGGGGAAGAACAGAACGTTCATCGCTTTTAGCTTCCAGGAACTTGAGGGTCAATGTGCAAAAGACGCAAGTCACCCCTGCCAGTGAACTTCACGGATTACACAATGCCCTACAATCTGACCGTGGAGCTGGCTCTTGAAGAGAATGTCCCAACCTAGTGGCGGTGAATTCAGGAACTCAGCGAGATGACGACATTCGTTCAGAGGTTGAGGTCCTCTGAGCCAGGTCACTTTTCCTGGCTTTGCATCTGGTCACGGCCTAATAATAGCAATGGGGCACTTTGGACTCTGCAGTGGCTGTGTTCACAGTACATCTGTGTGCTCCATCACGCCAGTCAACACGTCTCTTGACTTATCCGCACTGCAGCCAGAGAGACAATATTTTTGTTAGACGTTGGTCCTAAGCGGAAGGCTGACGTGTTTGTGTGTGTGTGTGTGTGTGTGTGTGTATGTGTGTGTGTGCTGGTGAAGGTTCATGGTGCAGTAGAGTATGCTGTAACCCCTGATGCATGTCGTCATAAGTGACTCCAGCATCCGCAGGCCTGGGAAGAACCATCCTGACCTCTGTGGTTACATAGGTGACGTATGTGACCATGTACGTGCCCCTAATAGCAGCAGAAGGGACTCACTGATCCACCACAAATAAATCTTCTCCCCGACTTCATGTGACCCTTGGGACTCCTGCCTGTTTCTTTACTTTTCCAGGGACACTCCATCTTAGGGAGATGGTGTCAACCATATGTAAAGGGGCTCACACAGATTTGTGGGGGGAATATCTCCTAAATGAGCTGCTCAGGGGACTAATTCTGAATAAATCATGGAATTGGGGATTGGCTCAGAGATATCTCCTGGGACTCTGGTCACTCGGGCCACACTGGGGAGGATCCTGTCTCTTTGTGAGTTGTGGATGGGTGGCCGGTGGCAGAAATGAGTGGAGGAAGAGGGCTGAGCACTAAAGGGAGTACCAAAAGAGGGTCCCCAAGTAGTACAGAGGGGACCTGGATCTGTCCCTACTGTAAGGAGCCAAAAGAAAGGGCTCCCCCAAGCAGAAGCAGCTGCAGGCAAGTAGGTGGCTCAGAGAGCACTGAGTCAGAAAGGCCTGGAGCTCACTTGGCTATGGAGTCACGGAAGAGAGCCCCCAGGCCTCAGGCAGGCGAGGCATCTCTGATCTGTGAACAGGATGATGCCTGCCTGGAAGGATGAAGGTGTGGGTGACTGGATTCGCCCTGTGTTTTTCCCCATGAGGTCCCAAGTAAATACGTCCTGGAGCAGGTGGAGCGTGAAGATGAGGAAAGAGGGCCCAGAGCTGCCAAGTTCAGTCACAGGTTAGAGCTGTGGGACCTAGAAAAGCAGAGTCTGATGTCCCGCAGGCCTGCAGGCAGCGGAAGGTGGGAACCAGGGTGGCCAGGCAGGAAACGCCCTAGTCTCTCAGGTTGCAGGAGAAGGAAAGTCTGGCTGTTCTGAAGGGGAACTTAGAGACTAGGGGCCGGATGTGAGCAGGGACCAGGGGAGGGAGGAACAATGGCCATTCTTCTGCCACAGGCTGACCTTCTGCGAAACAGGAAGGGCCTGCCAGGAGGGGAGGGTCAGGCTGAAGGACAGGAAGGAAGGGGCCTGAGGAAAGCCAAAGGGCTGTGGACTGTGTTTGGAATTTTCAGGCCTCTGTCTGCAGGTCCCAAACAGTCAGCAAGCTCAGCTCACACTAGGGGGTGTGACTTTCCCAGGCCCTGCAGCCTCCACCTCCCCCTTTCTGGGCCTCCTCAGGAACCTTAGTATGAGTCTTCCTAGGCTGCCCAGGGCCAGGGTCTTGCACGCTAAGTGAGTGTTTGTTACAGGTCCGTGAAACCTACCATCTTCATACGCAGAGAGGAGTTTCCAGAAAAAATAAAGGAAGGCCGCCAAAGTAATCAAGGCGCACAGACCTCCTCCTCCCTCGAAAAGGCGCCTATCTCCAAAACAATCGAGGCTGCCCGTTTAAACAACACTTGTTCAGTACAGAGGAAGGGTAGCGTGCCGGATCGCTGGGCTTTCCAAAGAAAACACTTCCAGTTGTCCGGCAGGCAACAATGAACAACAACAAAAAACCTGAATGGCATTCACGTGGGAGGGTGGGGAGCCTGGGCCAGGCCCTCAGGATCCTCAGTTGACAGTGAAGAGCTCCCAGGGCCGACATCCCGTCCAGCACATCCAGGTCCTCAGCCAAGGAGCAGTCGTTCTTTTGGTCGACACACAACGACACAACAACCAGGTGCTTCTGCAAGCCAGGGGCAAGGCCTTTGCTGGGAACAGCATCAGCCGGCTCTGTGGTCTTGGGCTCGCTATCTAGGACCATGAAGGATAAGCTCCTCATGTTGTTTAAGCTACTGGGCTCCAGGGATATTTGTTATAGCCGTCCTAGCAGACTGGCAAATTATACATCAGGTCCAAAAGATGAGTGTCAGGACTACCACATCTTCTCAAGGACATCGAGCGTAGGAAGATCATTATGGTCAGCTGGGGAAATGGGGGTGGGGTCAGGGTAGCAGAGGGTGGTTAACCAGGTTAGGGTGTAGCTGGTAGCAGAAATTACTTCTAATGTTTTGTAGAGTGGTAAGGGGACCATGGTTGAAAACAATGTGTTGGACATTTAAAAATAGCTTTAAAAAGAGGGTTTTGGAAGAGTCCTGTTGCATAGAAATAAAAAATACTTTGTGTGATAAGTGGGCCCGTGGCCTGGTGTGTCATTACACCATGTATACAGGTACAGCCACATGCTATGTCTCATAAATACATACAGTAAGTATGCCAATTCAATAAATATTAAAGGGGGGTGAAGTCTCCGGGGCCCAAAAGCCCTAACGGTGTCAGAAGTGTGCCTGCCCAGTGACAGTGACCACTCGGTGAAGGTCATACTCAACATCCTGATAGCCTGCAGATCCTATGTGTTTCTTCTACCAATTCCCAGGGCTTCTGGCAGAAGTGGGGAGCCTTGGTCCTCCCCTCCTCCATGTCTTCACCTGGGATCCCTCCACTACAGGCTAAAACCAGTGTTACCCCTTCCAGAGCCTTCACTTTGCCCACTGTGGGTCATCAGCATTCACAGCAGGGGGAGGTCAGCTCCTCAGAAACAGGGTCGCAAGTGCCTGCAAAGACCTGTGGATGAAGTCAGATAGGCAAGGCTGCAGAATGCCTGTGGCAAAGGGAAGTGGGAAGAGGCAGTTCCTGGAAGGTATTGGGGCTTTTCATGGGGAAGTGGCTGCTCTGTAGACCAAATCAACAAGCTTGTCACCGCGGTCTGAGGAGCCCATGGGGCTCTCTCTGCCCCCTGCCTTGGGGATAACCAACACCGGCCACTTCCCTACAGTGATTCACCTTCTCAGGGGCCCTCAAGAGTCCACACTGTCCTCACAGCTGCTCCTCCTGTGCCCTTATCTGTGCTGGGTGCCTTCTTAGGCTTCCAAAGCTTTGTGCATATTCTTTTTCTTCCCTCTACCTTTCTTGAAACAGCGTCTAATGTAGCCTAGGGTGGCCTTGAACTCCTGATCCTCTTGACTTTACTCCCTGGGGCTAGGACAGTCTTGCTTCAGATTCGCAAAGTGAGGGGATCGAACCCAGAGCTCCTTGCCTGTTAAGTCACCTGTCTACCAGCTGAGATACACTTGCTGCTTTCTTTCCTTTCCTTTTATTATTTTATTTATTTATTTATTTTGGTGGAAAGAATAAATTAAGATGCGCATCTCAGAAAAGTTGCAAGAATAGCAAAAGGCACAGCATGTCCAGTCCATTGTGATGTGTAAGGGGCCTTCTCCTTCCTGCCTCTGGTGTGGCTTTTGGCTGCTAGGTTATGGTTAGGTGGGACCATCAGTGCTGCAGCCTAAGAAGCTTTAGCAACGGTCGCATAGGAGACTCATCGTCACATCTAGCCAGGTGTGCAGGACCACCTGTTTCGTTTACTGCGGCAGTTTCTGTAGCCTTTTAAGATCTAAAGATATCTATAGCTGGTCTTGAAATTTCACAGCATGGATGCTGGGATGAGTCAGGACCTTCAAGGAGAGGTAGAACAGTCTCAGACCCAAAGCAGGAAGGGATGGATGTGAGAAGCTCCTGGAAGATCTTCAGGTCAAGTTCAGAGGAACATTGCTGGGGATCAGAGCCAAGTGTTGGTCCTCGTGAAGATGGCCAGGCAGGGTTAGGGCCTTGTTCAGCTGTTAGTCTGTAGCATCTACAGGTCAGCAGATAGCAGTTGGGTGAGCATTTAAGGGCAAAGTGGTACCCACGGAGGCACAGTGGCTGTGACTGTCCCTCTCTCATGGGTAGGAGATAACGGCGGCCTTCACCACACAGGTACCGTGAGTTTGGAGAGGAGGCTCTGAGAGCAGCCTCTGCTCTCAACAAAGAGGTGATGAAGCATACAGTGACAGCAGGTGAGTCACGGAGAGGCCTTTCTGCAAACCGCTCCATGTCTGCCCTCCCGGTCTCACGCACGAGTCCTCCAGCTGGCCTTATTGACTTGTATAGTCTATAAACATTCCGCCTTCCCATGAGGGCAAGGCCGGTAGGCAGTGTACTTGTAAGCTTCCCTTTGGGAAGGGGCTGGCACAGACATGGAAGCCCAACCAGCCTGTGTCTCCACACTGTGCTTCTACAGGTCTCCATGAGCCCCACCCCCACTTCATTGCCTCTGCCTGTCTTGTGTTTACTCCTGGGGGGTCTCAGCTTCCCCCTGAAAGATGAACCCTTGTAAGGAGGCTCAAGATAGTGAGGACCCACGAAGGACCTGTGTCTACATTTCAGGTTTCCTGTTTGCCCTTCCTACTTTCTCTTTCTGAGTTGTGGGTACCACCATCTCGGACGGTGAGGATGAGGGTGCTCCCAGGGAGGGCAGTGCAATTCATAGGAAATCCACTGTGGATTCATCGCTAGGGTCCTTTTCAGTGTCTGCCACTAAGGACAGTGTGGACTGATGGGTAAATGGTACCTTGGCTTTCCAGAGAAGCCCCCGGCAGCCATGATGGCATGAGCTTCCAGGCTTTGGCATTGATGATGTCTGTGTAGCTGGATCTTGGCGACTTAGAGCTGCTTGAATCCAGCCATCTTCAAGGTAACTCTGTTTGGGGACAGAGCTGTTGTAATGAAGGTGACAGGTCAGGTCTAACGTATAGCCAACCCAACACAGAAAATATAAATAAATAACTAAATAAATAAAGCACCGTGGATGCTTACATCTCTCGCAGAGACGGAAAGGAAGCGGCTCAGTCCTCTAGAGCTCCAGTCTCCTCCAACATACTGTTCCACCCCGCGTAGGAGAGATCTCATCCTAGTGTCCCAAGATGCTCGCACCCTTGCTTTAGACAGAGGAAGGGATGTGGAGTCACGGATTGCCTCAATGGATCTCCACTAACTAGAACCTGCTACGTAGCTGCAAAGGAGGCTGAGGATGCCTCTCCATTCTGCATGGCCATGTGCCCAGGTGAACACGCCGCTACCATGGAGACCAGTGTGCAGGCTGCATCTGACCACCTGAAGCCTTCGCCATAGCCATGCCTTGGGGTAACAGGAAGGAGAAGCCTTGGATTCTCTTTGCTCCTCTGTATTTCTTGCTTTCCTTGTCCCTGTTACTAATATATTGGACAGGGAGACTTAAGAAAGGACAGATTTATTTTGCTCATGGCTTCGGTACCTGGTCTCTTGATGCCTCGATGGACTTGAACACCGTGGTGGTGGAAATGTGCGGCGAGGAGAACGGTTTGTGGTTGACCAGGAAGTGGGGTGGGAGGGGAGAGAGAGGGAGATAGAGAAGGAAAGAGAGAACTCTTGACTACCCACACCTAGAGACTTACTTCCCCATCCTCTAAGTTTCCAAAACTTCCCCCAAATGGCAGTCCAAGCTGTGGGGCAGGCTTTCCAACCAGGTCCACTGATGGCTAGACATCACTCCTTGGCCTCCTGTCTGGTCCTGACTCTTTCACAGCACCAAGTCTCCATCTGTTCACGGTTTGCTCCATGACCAGCCTTCTCTGGTCTGTCTGGGCTCTTTGGAGCCTCATTTCTTTTTTTCTTGGTCTCTCTCTCTCCCCCCTCCTCTCTTTCTTTCTTTTTCTTTTTTTAAGACAGGGATTCTTTTGTAGCCCTGGCTGTCCTGGAACTCATTCTGTAGATCAGGCTGGCCACAAACACACAGAGATCTGTAGTAATAGGAGCGGCGGGGCTGCGTCCCCAGCACCCGGCCACCCACATGGCTAGCTTAGCTTATGCCCCGAAATAATTACACGGAAACTGTATTCTTTTAAACACCGCTTGGCCCATTATATCTAGCCTTTTCTCGGTTAACTCTCGCACCTGGACTAGCCCAATTCTTATAATCTGTGTAGCCCACGAGCTGGCTTACCAGGAAAGATCTTAACCTGTGTCTGTCTGGAGTGGGAGAATCATGGCGACTCCCTCACTCAGCTTCTTTCTCCCAGCCTTCTGTTCTGTTTACTCCACCCACCTAAGGGTTGGCCTATCAAGGGGCCTAGGCAGTTTCTTTATTCCTTAACCAATGAAATCAACAGATTGATATATGACACTCCCACATCAGAGATCCACCTGTCTCTGCCTCCTGAGTTCTGGGATTAAAGGCGTGCTCCATCACACCCAACTCTTCTTTTTCTAATCCTGCCTCCTCTGTGTGTGTGTGTGTATGTAAAAAGAGGGGAAGAGAGAGCTTGGGTGTGTGAGTATAAGATAGAGAGGTGGTGGTATGTGTGTGTACATGGAGCACACACAAGCTTAAGTGTGCCCTGACTTTTGTGAGGAGGTCGGAGAACAACCTGTGTGTTGGTCCTGACTGTCTGCCTTCTGTGATGCAGAATTCCTTTGTTATTGGTCACTGTGGACACCAGGCTAGTTGGCCATGCACTTCTTGGAATTCCGCCTCCATCTCCCGGCAGAAGTACTCTGAATCCAGATACACACCGCCGACTCCAGTTTTACCTGACACCTGGAGATCCAGGAAATAGGGTGTATGAAGCTATCAGTTCATGTCCACTTATCTGAGGGACAGTCAGGGGCAGTCATGGCCATAGCATGGATCATGAGAAGGTATCTCAGGATGACCTACAACCTGATCTTATGGAGGCATTTTCTGAATGGAGGCTCCCTCCTCTCAGATGACTTTGGTGTGTGTCAAGCTGAAATAAAACTACCCTGACAGAGGAAGAGGGGAAGTACAAAGTCCCCAAACTGCTTTATAGTCTCCATTTTCCAGTACCTCAGACCCAAGTGGGTGTTTGGCCTGTACTTACCCAGGTGACCAGTTGCCATGGTTTGCCACGTAACTTTCCATGCAATGATCTGCTCGTAAAAGATGTGGGCCATTCCTGCCAAGGACACTGTGGTGAGAGGAGAAGCCAGAGACCAGTTAGGAAGGGGAGCATGTCCGGGCTGCGGAGCTCAAAGTGGCAATGACTGGGATCAAGGGGGTTCAGGGAGCAATGAAAGCAGCGGCCACGCAGTTTGAGAACCTGGTCCACAGCAGTTAGAGACCTGCTGTGGTCTGCTTGGGGGAGCTTCCAGGTTTTCTGGAAGAGGCTAGGCTTTGGGGTGAGAACTGCTCAGGAAAGAAGCGTGTTCGGTCAGGGCCACACCTTGCTGAATAACAACCACCAGGCTAACACTGAACCAAACGAGCCAACACCAGGGCCAAGTACATCCTTGGTGGAAAATGAATTCTCAGGGAGGAATCATGTCATCGGAGCAAGTTCCTTACGTTCCCTCAGCTGGTAGGAGTAGCCAGATGTTTTTCCATGTAGACTCCTAGTCCTTAAAGGCCCAGGGTTTGCCAGCCATGTCCCAGGCTTCCCATGGGGACGTTTTCCTTGGCAGTGCCGTCCAGAGCGGAAACAAGAAGTTCCCTAAAGGGTCGTTTGGTGTAAAGATGATGTTCAACAGCGTCTAGTAAAGGCACATGTCATATTCACCCCCGGGTGAGGAAGCCACGTGGGCTCTTGTGATTTCCTGGCTTCTCTGTCTGATTCACTCTTTGTTTGTGTGTTTGTGTGTGTATATGTGTGTATGTGTATATATGTGTGTATGTATGTATGTGTGTGTATGTATGTTGGTATGTATGTGTGTATATGTGTGTACGTGTGTATGTATGTATGTGTGTATGTATGTATGTGTGTGCTCAAGCATGTGTGTGTGGAGGTCAAGGGTTGTTCCTCAGACACCATCAACTTTTTCTAAGCACAAGGTCTCTCACTAACGGGAGTTCACCATGTAAAAAAGGCCACTGCTCCCTAGAGACCCCCAGGGATCTGTCTGGCTCTCCTTCCCCAGTGCTGGGATTATAATTGTGAGTCATAAAGTCTGTTTTTAGATGGTTTGGGGGATCACACTGGAGACCTCTTGCCTACCCGCAAGCTCTTTACTGACTAAGCTAGCTCCCGAACCTGTGACTCATTCTTAGTGGGGCTGGCAGGAGAAGGAAGAAAAATCCCCTTTCCTGATAGGTCTTTGCTGTTGGCCCCTTACATCTCCCAAGGAAGAAAGGAAATCCAACAGTGTCAATGAACAAATGTATTCTAGGATGTTGAGATTTCATGATTAATCCTGGCTCTGAGATGCCTGGGCTGGAGGATCTGAATCAGGGGCAATTTATTCCGTCTCTTGGAGTCTCAACTTTCTTGCTTGGGAAATGGGAATGTTGTCAACTTCTTGTCTATGCCCAGGACCTTGTCACCACACCTTTCCCGCCATGACTGTGTTTCCTGAAACGGTGAGCCAGAGCCTTCTTGAAGTTGCTTTAGTCAAGTCTCTGGTTGCATCCATGAGGCTAATAAAACATTTTTTTTTTTGGCTTCTAGAACATACACTGAGGGGCTGGAGTAGAGGAAGCAGAGTGAAGACGTGGACTGGTTTCAGATCAAATCATCCACAATCCATTCGGCCCACACCATTGCAGAGGTGGAGCCTGCACCATGAATTCTGAGAAGAGTGGTGATGACTGAGACGGGGTGAGGCCAGGGAACGATAGGTGCAGAGGCTTTAAAAACAAGAATAAAACCAACCTAACACCGAATCTATGAATTATCATCACAGGACACAGGGGATGTCTGTGGTAAAATGGTCCTCCCCTGGCAAACAGACTGCTGGAGTTTGTGGAGTTTTAATGGCTCTCTGGAAGGTCGTAGCCCAGCTAGCCTGCCTTTCTCAGGGACGAAGAGTGGGAAGTCTGATGATGAGGAGTGACACCTGTGATTGCCACATGTGTGCTGTGGTGAGTGTGCTCCCTCCCTCACACACAAATGATGCACGCACACATCGTACGCACACGCCAAAGCTGAAAATGTGTGGCAACTGAATGGAACATGATACAACCATGAGTAGGAGTGAGGAGGATCAACATGCATTAATGTGAATTACAATATAACACACAGCATACAATCTAATAATGCCAAACAAAGCAATGAGCAAAACATTTATTATTATTATTATTATTTTGAGACAGGGTCTCTCTGTGTAGCTATTGCTGTCCTAGAACTCACTATGTAGACCAGGCTAACCTGGAATTCACAGAGTTCTGCCTGCCTCTGCCTCCTGAGTGTTGGGATTTGAGGTGTGTGCTACCACACGGAAATCACTTAAAATATTTTAATAAGTGACCCACATGTGCGTGTGTGTGTGCGTGTACATAGACATGCTTCATACATGAACAGAGTTCTCTAAAAGGAACAGAAAGCAATTCTGTAATATCAGCTGAGGACAAACTGGAAAAGCAGGACAAATTCCTTCCATTCTGTCTTTCTTGGAAATTCTGTGAGGTGGTAAAAATTTCAAGACCCAATGCCACTGTTCATAATTTTTTGTTTCTTGCATGACATATTTTTGCTACATTCAAGCAATATTTTTTAAACACTGCCATTTTATTTTTCTCTAAATTGCCAATTGGTCATTTCAAAGTATAAACACAAATAAACAAAAACAACAAAAAACCACATCCAAAGAGTAGCTTGTGTAACTGACGGCAGCGTGACTCCCACGTGGTCGGCACTACCTGCTCAGGTGTCTAATATGATGCTAAGGGTCTGTGTTCTCTTCCTGTGCCAGACAGGAGAAGTCCTACAAGGGCAGTGTGTGTGGGTGAGGGTTACGGGCTGTGCTTGGCACAAACTTGGAGTTTTCTTTTTAAAGTGAAGTCTATCAAAAATGCTGACTCGGTTGCTTCTGTTTCGGGGTGCTGGGCACAGGACTTGAAAGTAAAGAAGGGTTTCCACCAAGTCCAGGAGAAACTTGTATAAGCAAGAACCGAGGGTGACTGGAAACTATTAAGGTACAGTGTGATAGTGCCCTTCCTATGAAGATGAAACTTCAGTTTGTGTTTTGTGTCTGTGATCAAATATCTGACCGGAACACCATAAGGGAGCACAAAATTATTCTGGCTCAGTTTTTGGGAGTTCCACTCCGTCATAGCCAGGAAGGCATGAGGGAACAGTTTTTTCCATGACAGTGGGAGGAAGACGATGGCAGCAGACAGGAAGCTGAGTGGGGCTCTCAGGAGGGGAGGGCTGGTATCACCCCAAAGGTCCATCCTTAGGGACCCACTTCTGAACCAGGAGTCGCCTTAAGGTTCTGCAGGATTCAAGCAGCACAAGCTGAGGACAGCGGGGACATTTCCGATTCACACCATGCGGGCGAGCATCTGTCCCTCACATCTGATGGCCTGGGTAGGAGGACAAGCGAACCTTCTTCATCTACTGGAAATTTGTTTAAGCATGCAGACAGTTAAACAAAGTCTACCCTGTTCCCATACTTTAAAAAATACATACTCATATTTTTATATATTCATATATTTTAAAAGCAAGATTGAAAAACATAGACTAAAAATTGGCAGATGACAAAGATGACTGAATTAATCATTATAGAATATGTTTAAATGGATTATTTTGGATCTGCTTGAATGACTAACAAAGCAAAGACACATTGAATTTATAATTATTTTATATTTCACTAAGTTGATTTTTCCTTTATTACTTCATGATCAAAAATTCTGTCATGACAATGAACATTTCCACATGATTTTATTGCATTTATAGAAATGATCTAAAGAATTTTTAAAAATGTAAATGGTTTTGAATTATGCAAATTTTGAATATATTTTCATAAAAAATTATGTAAAAAGTCATAAAAGCATCCAAAAGCCCTGGGCTCTGGTGTGAGGATAACCTCAGTAATTGAGCACTTGCCTTGTGTGTACGTGTGAAGCACTGGTATTCAGTTTCTAGCACTGTTAAAAATATATACCCTGGGGCTGGCAGGTGGCTCAGTGGGTAAAGGTGCTTGCTGTATGAGCCCGGATACCTGATCTTAATCCCTGGAACCCATGAAGAGGTGAAAGGAGAGACAATTCCACAAACTGTCTTCTAGCACACACACACACATACACACACACATACACATACACACACACTCACACACACACATACACACACACACTCACATCGTGTCACACAAGACCTCTCCCCCCCACATACCATACACACACACACATAAATAAAAAATTTAAGGTATATGTATATATAAAAGTATTTTTTCAAAGCAAATCTTTATAAAATATGAAACTGAAGCAGGAGGCAACACTACAAATTAGAACTCGTAGATGCCAAGTGGTAAATGAGAACTCTTTAGGTGCACCTGAGTTTTAAATTTAGTTTTGTAAGAATTAAATAAATCTGGCTAAATATCCTGCAATCAGCTCACGCTTCCAGCGTTCCTCTCCCACCTGGCTGGCAAGGCAGGACCCGGATCTACAACCTGTGAGTCACGTTTAGATCACAGAGACCAGTTCAAGGACAACGGGGTTTCTTGAGTACAGCACACTGTTCCCCGCTGCTGGGTAGAGTGGCTGCAGGAGCCCCCTTGTTCCTTGGGCGTCGCCATGAGCAGAAGTCTGAAGAGGAAGGGCAGCATGCAGGCCGAGGGGCGGGCCCGCTGGCACGGGCCACGCAGGACTCATCTGTTCATCTATGGCATGGAGCAAAAGCTTCATTGTGCTGCGTCCGGCCTTCCCTCATCCCGGAATGCCAGCTCCTCTGACGGTAAACGTAGGACAATACTCAGACTTTCCGTGGCTTTGGAATCACCGTTCCCAGCCACCCCCTCCCTGATAAAAGAAAAACATTGAGGAGAATACAGAGAAATGTTCCCCTGGGCCTGGGAGGTGGTGCTTAGGGAAGTGGGTGTTCATGCTTTGCCTACACCAGAGCTTGGATCCCACGTGCCGACAGGGTTCTGTGGACACTGATGAAGTTTCATGTGTGTGTGTGCATGTTTGAGTGTGGAGTTGTCTGACCCACAAAGTACATGGTGATAGTCCCTTCAGCTCAGGTCTTCTGATACGCTGACAGTGTCAGGAACAATGTCCCAGTGAAGACTTCCCACTAGGTGACCCTTTTGGCTTCTGGTAGCTGATTTGTCCTGGCTCAGCCAGGGCTTGGGTCTGAACCAGTACCCTGCTTGGTTCAGAAGGATCTGTTCCAGAGGCATGGCCTGTTCCACGGCTTATTCTGTCCTGTCTGGTTCTTGGGCCATGAGGCAGTGTGTCCTCCGATAGCCCGCTAAATCCTTGGATGCAGGCCCCCGGCACACTCACTCACCCCTCAGGGAGACTGCTACCTTTGTCTGGAGGCCAGTCTTGGTCCTGATGAAGTCTGAGCCATGCTGAACTTGCCTTCCTGCCTGCGTCCCTGTCCTTCCTCTTCTTTCTTTTCTCTACATCCTGCGTCATCCATCCATCAGTCAGCTCACCTGATAACCTCCCTGGACTCTTGATTCTCTTGTGATTGTGGCTGGCACAGGTGCTTCTTGTCTTTGCTCAATGGAGAGATCGGGCAAGAGAAACAGACCTGAGGCCCTGGAGTCTGGTTCCTAAGAATCTGATGCGAAGAGATAGTCACATATACAATGAGTGCACACTCAAAATGTAAAATATTATTTTAAAAAGGGTCAATGGGCTGCCAAGACGAAACAGTTCAGTTCCCAGCACCCACGCTGGGCAGCTCACAACCGCTTGTAACTCCAGCTCCCAGGGATCTGATGCCGTCTTCTGGCCTCTGGACCGGCGCTCACATGCATGTGTGTGTGATGCCTGCATGTACACATAATTTAGGAAAGTCAGGCTGAGGGGATGGTTAGCTGGGTAAAGGGCTTGACGTGCAAGCCCAAGTGTCCAAGTTCAGATCCCTGGCACCGGTGTGAAAAACCAGGCAGGGCGGTGCACACCCGTAACCCCTGCCTTGGAGGAGAGGAGAAAGATGGATTCCTGGAGCTTGCTGACTAATCCGGCCTAGCTGATCAGAGAGTAGCAAGTTCTGTGAGAGACTATGCTGTATGTATGTATGTATGTATGTATGTATGTATGTATGTATGTATGTATATGGGGGGGGAGACTATGCCCAGCATTGCCCTCTGACTTCCACAGCACATGCACAGGCATACACAACCACTCAAATATGTGTACACATACACCACACAAGTGAGCACACACACATGTGCACGCGCACACACACAATTGTGGTTGGTGGTGAGGCACATCAGGTGGCTGTCCATTGTCACTGAGATTCCGCCAGAGAACATTATACGCTACCTGCAGGGAGGAAGGCTGTCCCAAGGTCTCTGTGTATGAATGTGGCTACGACACGGTTCACTGATCTCCATAAATAGAGCCTGCTACCCAGGAGAACTAGGTGAGTCTAAAATCACCTCCAGAATATATTTAAATTGCTCTGGGGTAGGATCGTTCCCAAGGACATCCGCACCTCTGGTTTTGCAGATGTTTTGATTGGATTTGACTTTTAAAAGGCCTTAGCCGAAAACATCTCCGAGAGACAGCAGGTTTATTTCCATCCCACGTTTCACGGGGGATGATTGCTCAAGTCTGTGCAGCACTGCATGCTGGGACGCGCGATTCGCTTCCATTAGTGACGGCTGAGGCAGACAGATTGAGGGTGAGGGGAAGGTGGACCCCCATGACTGCACCCTGGTGGAGCGAGAGGCTGGTGCCCATTAGCAGTCGGAGACGGTGCGTCAAAGCCATAT